ATTCAGTCCTAACAAACGCGGTATGTGGAATGCAGTGAAGCTGAACGTCCCACCTTTTAAGCAGCCTTAAGAGCAAAGCCAAGTGGCAAAAGCAATTAAGAGTTCATTTAGAACAAGTGAACTATGCTGGGACTGGTTTTTCTGAGGCCTGGTCAACACTAATTCACAATGTCGCCTTTTTATTCAAATGACCTCTCCCAGAGTCCCCTTTGTGTTGGTGCCGTTCTAATGCACCTCCATTAGAACAAAACCTGAGCTGCATTGCTGAAAATGAAGTTTCCCTCCTCAACTCTGAATGATAGCAGGCCTCTACCACCAGAGCTGTGTGTGCTCAGCCACTGGAAAAGGATTTTCAACCGTGCCATTCAGCCGGGGCCCCAGAACCCTGCAGCCTTTATCTGCAGAACCGTTGATTGATGTGTTGTGGGCCCTGCTGTGGTTAACAGCAATTTTTATCTGTTGCTAGCGGCAACAGCCCAGGTCCCTGGTGCGCAAAGAGCAGCAGGGCCCAAGATCTGAAGCCGGACCGCACACAGGGATAAACAAATAGGTTTTTCAAGGCGGACAGCCCTCATAGAGAGGCCCCTGACAGGCAGCGCCCCACCCCAAGGCCAGGACAATGTCAGGGCCCCTGCCCACTCCTGCTGGGCTCTTGGTTTCCTTCACTAATTTTCACCATGTGCAGAGCCGGTGGTATGGAGACACCTGCACACCCCACTGAAAAGTAAGCAGAACACAAGAGACAGAGAGAGGCAGACAGAGTGATAGACAGCGAGAGAGTCGCAGATATGCGAACAAAGAGGCGGTTTCATATAGTACACAGAAGAGGAGGAAGCCAAGGCTTTCTGTTAAAACTCTATGTGACGACCAGAAGAAAAGATCTTCTGCAAAAATTATTCTTAGAATAAGATATAATTTACACTCAATTTCCTTTCAATCGCTGTGTTTAGCATTTAATCCAGTGAATCTGTGTCGTTTTGTTAAATAAGGCGTGAAGCTTTTAATGGCTTCTATTATAATTAAGTGACATAATCCTTGTATTCGATAAAGATCTTGTAAAAAGCCTCGTCACTCAGACAGGGAAGTATATTCGCCACAATGTGGAGGTCATGAATGCCAAATCAATTTAAACAAGGCTGTTTAAGAATGCACAAATGACTCTGAGACTGCTCTGTTTAGTGTAGACTCATTTAGCGTTAAATATGATTATGACAACCCGAGCAGGCAAATGAAGAATGGGTGTGTCTAAGAGCTCCGAGCACTCTCGCTCAACCCAAACACTTCGGCTAAGGTTTTACTCTCTGACATTGCAGAGATAAACCCTCCCAAAACAGACTAGTCAGATTATACTGTCACAGACAAAGCTCTATGCTTTTATCGTGCGTGAAAACATGAGCCTTAGCTTGGCCTTGGGGTGGTTTTAAAAGATGGGGGGTGGGAGACTGAAGCTCAATCACTTCATCTGAAAGGAAAGGGAGGTGTGTCTTTTTCGCTTAGCTAAAACGTCTCCTCCTCTATACAGTATATCGAGCCCAGGGGTAGGGACAGGATGGGCAGATAGTTGCAGTCAGATTCTTTGACATTTTCCCCTGTCTCTTGCAGTCCGTATCTCCCAGGCACAGAGGGGGATGTTGGGTTCTTTATCAAGGAGCCCCTCAGAGAGGATGATAAATCGCCAGAGCCCAGGCCCATCTCCAGTGGAACAACAAGCAGGTAGCAGCGCAGGAAACAAGGCACAGATATTGTCTCCCAAACATAGCAGAGGCTATAATGAAGCCTGCACAAAGCAGACAGGAGAGAGTCGGCCTGATAAACAATTCCATTTCCAGTCTTCCACAGAGAGCGAGATAGCGAGTCTCAGTCCTGCTGCTACATATCGCTGCTGGACTCAGCGGTCCAGAGATTAGCCCTCAAACCTGAATGGAGGATGGAGGGTGGATGTGGGGGGCAGGTGGTGGGAAGTGATTTCACGTCTAGTGATGTCATCACCTGGATAAACACATCATGTTTAGATGATTCAGGAACTTAAGGTAGCTTGCTGTTAACCCTACAAAGAAAAATCAGTTTGCTGAACCGAGGATATTGGTATGGAATTACAATCTAACACTTAAAATAAAAAAATGTACAAGGTATATTATTATTATTAACTTAACTTTTTTTTGTGTGTTTTTTGTGTACTTCTATATTGTTTATTTATATACTAGTTGCATTAGTATGTTGTGTTGGATGTTGTCATATCTGTCCTGCAATATAAATTCACTAAGCCAAGTTCCTAACAATGTTTGTTGTAGTGGCAATAAAGTTAATTCAATCAGAACAGTAAGTCACTGCTTACAACATCTGGTATGAACGTATCATTTCATGGTGGTTCAGGGATTCATAATATATTTACTGTGGAATCAATCACCATTTTACCAATAGAGTTTTCTAATGGATGACTGACTATAAACTGAATACATTTTATGCTTTGTTGTTTTTTCAAAAATAATTTTGCTTTTTATTTGTCAGCCCGTAGAGAGAGACAGGAAAAGTGGGGACACTTAACATGCTGGGAATCGAACCATGGACATGGGTAGTATGCGTCTAGGATATAACAAACATCAAGACTAGCAGGAAAAATCTTTTAAATTTAAATATATAGAAAATTAATATTTATTTAATTAAAACAAATATTTGCACCAGCCAGCAGAAAATATATGTCACTTACACCATAGTGTTTGCAATCCAATAGATACACATTGGAAGCACTATACATAGTTGAAAATTTGGATTCAACTAGCATTCAGTTAACAGCTTTAATAAATAATAATAAAAGAAAGAGAATGAGATGACACAAAGTCTAATAGACTGATGAGTAGACATGCTATGTTTCTGCAGAATATGTGCAGTTTATGTACTGTATATGCAGCATTTCTGTGTGCAACAACACAGATAAATAAAACCAGCAGACAATGCATTCTATATGTGACAGCCAAATTGTTTTAACACAGTATAAAGGTATCTGCTGTGTCCAAAACACTCTGGGGGTGCCAATTTCCCCTTTTCATGAGTCTGGCAGTAAAGCCCAGAAACTACCTTTACATTCTTGTGTAAACCATTCAAATGAGGCCATTTAAGCCTGGCAGGCAACATAAGAAGAGAGGCATATGGAAGCATAAACAAGAAGAGGCGTTATCTCCCATAGAAGCAGAAAACAAACAGTCAGTAGAGATTGCCTTTTTTTACCTCTTAGTGCCTTGTGACAGATAACCAGCCCCCATTCACCAGCTAGATATTTTGAGTGTTTGTGGTGAGGCAGAGCAGTAGATGGCGATTACTGCCAAGGGCCAAACAGCAGACAGTCCTGTCCATGCTATTGGTGGCTGGTGGCGCTGCCTACGCCTCTGTGCCCGCCGTGTTGACCCTCCCACACCCCCTCACAAACAGCCCTCCACCCACATAGCCTCTCTCTTCCTCAAGTCATAATGCTCTATCCAGCCCCTAGCCTTCTCCTCGTCCTACTCCTCCTCCCATACCCACTCAGCCTCTGCCTGCCAGTTCCCTGGAGCCCCCCGACCCCACACCCCCGAAACCATCATACTGTAAAGCCTGAAGCACTTACAGATAAGGAGACCCCAGAAATCAAGCGGGCCCGGCAGCACAGCAGATTGAGAGTCAGAGCTCAGCACCCAGGAGGTGCCCAGAGGCTACAAACGCTGCAGATAGCACCATTGGATAGCCAGAGAGGGGAGTCAGACAACGTAAAACTTCCTGCCCTCGTTACTGGACTTTCCTTTGCTTGAACAATACCCCTGCCCCCACACTACCACCACGAGCCCCCTCCACCTCCATTTCTGCCCTCTCTCTCTGAATCCTCCTCCTTCCAGATAAAGAGAAGGCCTCGTTCCCTGCCGACTCAAACTGACAGCTCGAGCCAAAGGGCTCCACAAGCTTTTTCGGAAGGTCTTGTTTGTTTTTATCCATCTGTGAGTATGCAGCCGCTGGGGAATAGGAATGTGACATGTTCTATTAAAACAAAATAAAATAAAAAAATTGCACAGAGATCAAGGTCTTTTGAAGTTAAGCTTTGTTCAGCGCTTTAACTGCAGTCCTTTGAGGCAGATTAACGATGACAAACCATTTATAGTTGTTTTGTTTGTTGGGATGATTGCTTCCAAGTTGCAATAAGAACTGCCATATGCCACTCATCAGCTAAAAGTAGCACACTTTAAAGAATGTTCCTCTTATGAGTTCCCCTTTAAGCAAAGGACATAAAGGACGACCGCTGTCTCTATTACCCAGAGACTAGACACATCATTGAAACAATGGGAGGGAAAGAGCACAAATTTACGGTTCGAAAACGCACTGGGGCAAGGCAACAGATGCTTTCAAGGGATAAAAATAGTCCTGCTCTGACAATTTGAGAGATAGTGTATGTTTGAAAGGAGTGGGTTGACAATTTCCCAGGCATTGCTAAATATTCCTCTCTGACACATTTACCTTGAACAGCACAACATGTTCTATGACAAAAACCATCTCACTCACTCCTGTTAGCGTACAGTCCTTTCCAACAAATCATATCATCATCATGACATGTTTAACTGCTATGGATCTTCCTAAGAGGTGTGAATGTACATACATTCTATGGTGGTGAGATACTGTATTTTTTACATACATATGGAAGCCTTTAAAAGGCTTTTAGGCATATTGTCATACATGTGAGCAAAAGGATCCTCCACTGACAGTCAGTGGAGGAAGACATAAAACTCTGACAGCTAAATTGCAGCACCGGCGACCGGCGCTGATCGATGCCAATAAAATGAGCCTCTTTTCGCCAAGGTAGCGCAGGACACCTTCCCGCAATTTAATCAGTCAGTCAGCCAGAATTAATGTTCCTAATATCATGATTTCTCCATTACTCTATTTAACATAATTAAAATGTCGAGCGCCGGGGCCATAAAGCGGGTCGTTGGAGATTGTAATTCTGCCGTAAAGCTATGAAGCATGAAAATGCCACTTACCGAGTAGCCACGGCCTGACAGCGAGTGAGTGGAACTCTGTAGGGAGAGAGAGGAGAACAGGGATGACCTTTAAGGAGCGTTTCACTCGCTGACACAGACATGATGAAGCAGTGCCGCTTTAATATCAATATTCACGTTAACCTTTTACCCGCCCCGCCATGTACCCCTCGCCCGCACACATCACTCTCATACACTCTGGCCTCCACCATGGGGGTAGCTGAGCGGCACTAGCTCTAAAAACAATCACTCACACCCTGCTGAGAGACTTAATTGTTATCATAGAAATACACTGTGGAAAACTTTAATTATTTGGAAAAAATATAATTAAAATGGTGCACAATAGTCATTATATGGCTATGTAAATGCATTTCAAGCACAGTGTGAATTGTGCATTCTTTATTTTTTTTTAATATTCAGAGACTCTGGGATACCTGCACAATGATGCACATGTTTTAATCTTTGCCTGCTGACATTTTGTAAATTATAAATGCTTCTGGTGGATTTTATAATACAGCTAATATATTGCAGTGCAGATCAATATTAAGTGTCACCATTTATTTGTTTGAATTCCCTTGCTTCAGTGCCTTCAAGAGAGTCATCCAACATTGATAGACACGTGGGAGTGATTCCATTACTTGCATCAGTAGATTAAAGGATAAAAACACACCTTGAACTGTTTTTGAGAGTGAGTAACAGCTCAGGTACCCTGCTAGCCGAAGGTGTTGGCTTCTCTTCTTCTTATTCCATCTTATGATTGTCCAAGTATTTGCTTTGCAGTCAAAGTCAAAGTTATGAAATAGCATCAACAGGTATTTTCAGGTTACGGCAGATATTTCAACATATATAATGCGCAGAAATAGTGCATATAAAAAGAGGAGATCATTTTTAAAAATGCTTTATATCCATTACAGACAAAAAGACATGATGTCATGTTCATCGCTAAATATTTACTATAAAGACAATCTCTTAAAAAAAGAACAAAAACTGTAAAAATTGAATGTTGTCTATCAAGTCTTGAGGGATCTTTTATTAAAATGGTGTCCGTCACACTGGAACCAAACCAAACATTCTTTATTATGTTATATTAGCGCCTTTTATACTCCGGATAAATATCTCTTCATGCATTTAGGGAGCTGTTTTGGCCCTTTAAACTCCTCCTGTGTTTTCTAATGCAGTCCTCTAAACGCTGAACAAGAGCAGGATGGAGACAGAAAAAGCTGGGTTTTGTTCTGTTCTCTGGCTCTGTCTGTCAGCGCCCAGCACGAATACCAATCTCCAAATCCCTCCCTCCACTTCCACTTTTCACTTCTTTTATTCCTCTGTCTAGATTGGCAATTTCTCCCCCCCTGGTCTCTGGAGGGGACTTTTCTGCTAGACCAATTTCATCCATAGGTCCACCTTCAATCCAAACTACCTCCCCCACACCTTCACCACCACTGCCTCACTTGTTTTGCACCCTCCCAAAACCCCTCATCCATTCTCCCACACCTGCTCTAGGCCTCAGCCCTCATCAACGCCTGTGTGCCCCTCTGATTTGCAGGACGGTTCCTGTGGTGACGATTAGGGAGGAGTCCCGCCGCGAACCGGAAAGCAGGCTCTGCGGGAATCAAAAGGCTATTCCCGCTCTGCTCAACCTCTCTGCTCCCTTCACTACGGCGACCAGGGAGCAGGCCAGAAAAGAGGGGAGGACGAGCTGCACAGAAGGCAAAAGCTGTGGATACAAAAGGGCCAAAAGTGTGTTCCAGTGAGAATGTGGTCTGTTGTCTGTGTGTGTGCATGTTGTGAGTGCACTTAAATATGTGTGTATATGCATGTGTTGGTGTGTGTGAGTGCATATGTGCATAGGTGGTGGGAGGCCAAGGCCATTTGGAATTAGCCTTACTATGTAGAGTTCATTCAACTTGGAGCATTCTGAGTAAAAAGAGAGGCTTATTTAAATGATAATGAGGGACAATCCATTGGATTTAGTGCCGGTGAAGGGAGGAAAAGAGGGGAGGGAAAGGGGGGATCCATTAAAACGCCAGCGGTTCATAAGCCATAGGGTCGGCATCCAGCTAAACACTCTCTCTTAAAAGCCATTATACATGGCTCTCAATGGATTTCTGCAGCGCTTACGACTTCAAAAGGATTTAAGAACCCGCCCCAGAGAGGAGTGTGGGGGAGGGAGGAGGATGAGTGTGTGTGTGTGTGTGTGTGTGTGTGTGTGTGTGTGTGTGTGTGTGTGTGTGTATATGCGTGTGGTGGTTATGGTGGTTGGTGGCGAGAGGGATGGGGCGGGTGCTGGCGGCATTTAAGGGTTAACTAAACAGCCCCGGAGAAGAGAAATGTTGCTAAATCCGCCCCCTAATCCTCTCCCCATTTCCATGCCCCCTCCTCCACTCTCCATACTAAAAAAAAGAAAAAAGAAAAACATGGCGACAAGAGGGGAGGATCCAGTCCATCTTCTTCCAACACAGACTATTGGTTTTTGTCGTTGCAGGGAGGCCAAGGGGTGGGCCAATCAGAGCCCGGTGGAGCATGATGAGGAAAGGGATGTGAACATGTATGCCCTCTGTGGCAGGAAGATCAGGTAGCTGGGTGGGTTTGGGCGCATGTGGGTGGGTGTGGGTGGATACAGGAGGGTGTTAGAGACCCTGACAGCACCACGACTGCCGCCCTCTCCTCCGCAGGTCACAAATGCAGTGGAACCCACCCCCTCCACCACCCCCCACCCCCTCATATTTCCCTAATCCCTGTGTGGCTTAGTGCCGAGGCCCCGCTGCACTGCAGGCACAATTACCTAGTCAAAATAAACAGATAAAGACCCAACCATGGCAATGAACAAACAGCATCCCCTGCAATTTTTTTTACCCCCTGCTCCCAAATTGATGCATGACTGTTTTTAGAGGCGGGCGCGTCCACATGTCGCATTTGTCTCTATTTCCTTTGGCGGTAAGACAAGAGAAATCCATTTTACTCGTTGCAGACGCGGCATCATTAGTTAAGAGCTCTTAAAGCTGGGGAGCCACTTTGATGTGGTGGAGCGTGTTTTACGAAAATTAGCAGTGCTCTCAGTGCGGTGGCGGAGATTTCATGGAGCTGAAAAAATAAGAAATATAGTGGAGACTGTGACACGGTGCTGGTGAGGAGTGCTAGTGTGTGTCACGTCCAGGCCTTTACAGAAAGTAATACAACAGCCAGCAGAGAGGAGGACAGACACACAGACAGACATACAGACAGACAGACAGACAGACAGAGAAAGGTAAAGACAGGCAGAGGGAGAGAGATGGGGAGATATGGATGCCGTGGCTACAACGATCAGCGTCTGTGCACCATTTATTTGGCAGCAGATTAGAGAGACATGCCACATCTAACACCGTCGGCGATTACAGCATGCAATTTTCAACAGTGCCCCCCCCGCCCCTCGCCGCCATCCCCACAACCACCGCCACTTCCACCCTCACTCTACCTCCCCCCTCATCCAGGCCCCCCCCCTCCTACTCGGTGCTTGTCGTATATCCCTGTCAGAGCTGTCAACCGGCTTCGGTCTTTTATCTGACAAGCCCGCCTCTTCCTCCTGACTTTTTCATTAAAAGACAGCCTTTTACACAAATTCAAGAGAAATAGTACGAGGGGAAGAGGGGGGACAGTGCACAAGAGAAACAGAGCAGCTAGGCTTACAGAAAAGAGGATGAAGATGGGAAAAATTAAGCTGGTGATTTTTTTTTTTCATCAGGCTGGATTTTCAATTGGAATGCTGAATAGCTTAAAACAATGTATTTAATAAGTTCATTAAAATCTTTTTCTTTCCATCATTTTACCCCTGCTGGAAAAGGAAGCTGCATATTTTCCTTCCTCTTCTTTCTCTCTTTCTCTCTCTCTCTCTCTCCTGCTTTCGTCAGCTAAATGAGCAGTCTGATTGAATTTAGTTAGGTTTGGGAGGCCTGCTTGACAGGCATTAGTTAGGAAGCATATTTCTACATTCATTTAAAATGAGCCGCTTGGGATTTTGCATAAATTCTCATTACTTCGCCTGTATCTAAATTGCATTATTTCATCCCTTATGCTGAACCAATGCCTGGCCTCCATTTTCCTTTGCCACCTACTCATCCTCTAAATGGGCTGGCATATGGATGCCGGCACAGCGATAATTGGAACAGTTTTTTTTAACTCATTCCATTCTGAGGTCGGCAAGGTCAGCCCACACCTGGCTGAACTGCGTTAGGTCATGTCTACATTTAACCACGCCATGCTTTAAATAATGCCAGGCCAACTAGGTGATGCTGTGTGACCAGCCTAATCATTTCCTGTCTATGTGCTGCCAGCCAACCTTTTTCCCAACGCACAGGGGATTTATGAGGTGATAGCTGGAAACAGCAGGAGCTACTGCACCAGCTGCCCTCTGATCTCAGCCTCAATGTTGCTGTCGTCCGCCTGTTCGCTATATCCCACCTCAGGGGTCCCCCTGCTTCGGCCTGTGAAAGTGGATAGCCTGGCTCTCTGTAGGAGGGCTGTGAAAAGGGGAAAGGTCTCGTCCAAGGACTCACCTCGCTAAGCTGCTCCTTGGAGTTGCTCCTGTGCGGTCGGCTGAGCTCCTGCACTGTCTCGTCCTCGCTGACTTTGACCGGACGTAGGGCTAAGGGTTTAATCTGCAGGGGAAACAGGAAAAGAGGACATCATCAAATCATTACCTCATGAAACAAACCCCGATGTTCACAACTAAGCACTATACCCTGAGAGGCAGTGATTTATGGTTACTTTTCAAACATTTGTGAGGCATAGAGTATAATACTAAAAGCTGCTCTAACATAACTGTTAATCATTGCAGAGTGGCTTATTACCTTTACAAACTGGCGAGGAGAAATTGCTATCAATGTGTGTATATGTTATATATTAAAAGACCATGCCAGTGTCATTTTGCCAGTTTAATACATATGACATGGGCTTTACATCACGGTGAACCTTTTCCAAAACACACCACAGTTTTATTTTAATTTATGTATTTGTGCATTTTTCATTTTTCTTTCATTCTTTTGAACCACCTTGGCTATAGCTAAATGTGTTTCATAATAGCAGTGAACATAATGTTTTTTTTACCATTGCATAGTAATGTGAATGAAAGGAGGGAATGATCCCCTCACGTGATGATCAAACATATCTTGCCTTCATTATGTAATGCAACAAACTAAGGAAGTGTATATTATCCATGTCATCTGTCAACCCTCTTGTTGGGTTATAGTTTACCACCAGTACATGAATTCACTAAATCAGCAGGCTTTTCTTGTATTAGAATATTTTGGGGCATTTTGCTTTTATTTGGACTGTACAGAGAAATGTGGAGAGTGAAAGAGGGATACAACATGCAACAAAGGTTCTCCAGCCAAGCGTCAAACCATGGATGTTGCAGTTTTTTATATGCCCTAAACATTCAGCCCGAATCAGCATGATTTTCAATACAGTGTCAACCCGAGGAACACAATCTAAGGTTAACAAAAACCTTAGAAAATAAAACTGAGAATGATGTTAATTGTAGTGCATTACCTAAGTTGATTTCAAAATATGCTTAAATGAAAAGAAATCTTGGGCAACACAGGACCCCCAAGAAAACCCCACCCACTCACACACAGAATAGTATACGAGAAAAGGAGCAGAAATGTAGTCTGAATAGAAATGCAAAAACAGTACAGTTGTTTTTCAACTGATTAATCATTAATCAGTAGAAAAGTGATAATTAATAATCATCTATAATTAAATAATTGTATGTTATTAGAATAATTGAATAATTAAATATTATTCCATTCACCAACATAACATTTTAAAAGTAGGTAATTCTCTTGGATTCTTGGTTAAGCAAGAGCAACTGTTGATGTGGTGATTTTTGGATTGGGCATTGATCTTTAAATCCACCAAGACCTCTGACACAAGTTTGTGTTAATTAGGGAAATGAGAAGAGATCCAAACCTGATGCAGCCACTGAGGACCAGAACTATATCAACAGTTCAGACGCTGCAATAAATCACACTGCAAAACAATAGTAGCACAACAATGTCTGAACCAGGGGACACATACTAAAGTTCTAGATAGCATCTTATTTCCTGTTACTCACTGGGATCCACAACCAACCCCACAAGTTAGGTAGCTAACAATACAGCCTAACTACAATGGCTTCAACTGACTTTCAATGGGCCATGGCCCTTCTATTCTTAACCTGAGGGAAATTCAAAGCTTGTGAGGTGTCTCACAGCTCAGTGTCAGTTTGTGCTTTGGCTAAATGCAAAGCAGAACTGGCTGTAGTAAAAACACCTGTAACCCCAAACCTCGACCCACTGGTGCCAGTCAGACCAGCAAGCAACATGAACGCAGCAGCAACAACGTAGTAAATGTGTTGAAATACACTCAACACATACATACACAGCATACACTCTCTTGAGTCTCAAACATCAAGTAGGCAACAGTAGCTAAAAAGCTGGATAATGTGCTTACCTTAGCCTTGGTCTACATACATTAAAAAAAATATAGAATTTTTTGAACAGGCAGAATTAATAAAAAGTTAGGACCCATTGCTGAATATTGTCTAAAATCCCCATCTACTCCAATTCCTCACAGCTCAGGGACATTCATTAGCAAGCTTTGCAAGGCCAACAACAACTCCTTGAGTAAATGAGAAAAACTATGAGAAGACAACACTAAATAATATTATACATTTTAGATCAAATAAAATAAATGTTCAATTTATTCCTGCTGTTTTCTGATTTTGAAAATGGTAAAATTAACAAAAACTAAATAAAATATCACAAAATATTATCTACAAATGCTAAAGTTTTTTGCGTTCAGCCACTCGCAATACACATCATGGTAACCCTGATGCAAACATAGATGGCCTATTTTATTGCAGGGCCATCAAGACCTGCAGTTGGCATTCACCCAAATTCCCAGCCAGATGGGAGGTTGGCGAGCTCAGCAAGGAAGACTCTGTGCCGGTGGAGCAACAGCCAATCACAATGGCCCGTGCTGCTACCCCACCTTGGAGTACAGTGGCGATGGCCGCGGGGTGTAATCCATTTGACTAGCAGTTTGCGTGTAGCAGCTCCCCTGGTAGCGTGCGTGCTGGCTGGCCCCGTTCTCCTGATCTCCACTGTAATTTAAGCAGATCACTGCTACAATTAACCTTTCCCGGTAAATATCAATTATGGCCCCCGGCTGGGCTAGAATTAAAAGGGTCATCAGCTAATCTGACAGGTCCTGTACGCTGCCACCTGGCTGGGAGAGAGGGAGGGAGGCAAGGCGGCAGAGAGAGTGTTTGTCTACCCTCGTGCCCACCAGCTCACATGCCAAGTAGACACAATTCCCTTTTAATTACCCTGCCGCCGCAAGGCCAAGCATGCTGATTGGCCAAGGGGCATTAGCAGTGCGCTGAGGTCAACAGTGACAGGACGGGGGTGGGGTGGGGTGAGTGTGGTGGAAAAGAGGAGGGAGCAGCCGCCAAGCAATCAGGGTGTAGAGATGGAAAGAAGGGAAACCTGCAGGTGGGCATAATCAGGTTTGACTTCCACCTCTACCCGCCTCTGCCTCTCTCGCTCGCTCTCGACTAGCTGTCAGCCTAATCACTCCTTGAATCTCAAAATAGATGGTGGCCTTTTTGATTTCCTTCTCTCAAGGAGAGCACAAAAAGTGCAATCCTCCTTGGCAGGCAGGCAGGCAGGCAGGCAGGCAGGCAGGCAGGCAGGCAGGGAGACAGAGCGTCAAGGTACAGTCGGCGTCACGTTGCCGTCAAGTGCAGCTGTTGATTACTTTGTTTACCCAGCATCAGTGTTGCTGACAAATTCCTGAAGGCGCCCAAAGTGTTTCCATCTCATCTGGGGCCAGCGGCTACATTACCCAGTCAGCAATCAACTTGGCTATTGATCAGAGCACAGTGTCTAATTAGCCGCCTAGGTTAATGAAGCAGCGTGCAAGGACCGTTCCCCAAGCCACTGTTCAACGGGACAGGAGAGCAATTGATCTAGGCAGGAATTCACCAACTCTGACAAAAGATTGGCAACCCCGACTGCCTGTGATTAAGGCAGGGACTCATTTCCTGTCTGGGGAGGTGTTTAATTGGCCCTAAGCTCCCAACTGTACAGCTTTCATGTGTTGTTTTTTCTTTTTTGTGTACTCATTAATGTTAAAGGACAAGTTAGTGAGCTTGGGGGTGGGGCTAATGGTCTCTACTGAGTTGTGATCAGCTGTAAGTGGTGACACAGTTCAAGGTCGTAATGCCTTTCCACTATGCTTGAGGTAATGCCTTTGAATAATGCGTCCTGGGCAGCCTTGAGGGAGCAGTTGCTGGCCACCTGGTTGTTTTAAGGAGTTACATTTGTGATTTTTTTAGTTTTTGTGAAGTTTATTTGCATTGAGGGTTTGACTGATGCAGAATTGGGGCAAGGTTAATTTGGTTGACGCAGAAAGTAAATGTGGTTAATCTGTGTGTGTCCGGGGGAGAGTATGACTTAAGACGATAGATAGAAGAGACGTAAAAAAAAACCAGCTAAGTAAGGGCCTGTGTTTTACATGAATAATGTACTAGAAATTAGCTCCATTAGTCTCGGTATTGAACATGTCTGCAGTCCCTCTCTGGAGGCTGCCGCTCTGTGCTCTTTAATTATCTTCAAAGGGCCCTCCAGCATCTTAATTTCCCCCCAAGTTGAGTAGTGCCGACTTGGGTCTGCTCATTTATACTACTCTAACCCTGGGTGAAGTCACAAAGCCCCCCTGCTTAGAAAGGGCTAGTCAAGGCATCGATGGAGACAGTAGTGGTTCACATCAGTTCATGCTAGGCTTGGCTAACTTTCCTTTTCCTTTCACTCTTCCTCATTCTCCTTGCAGTGTCAGTCAATCTGTAGCCTGTCAGCAGGGAGCTAGCTAGAGGCTGGCGGGTGATGCTTTGTTGTCCTGCTCCTTTGATCCTCCCTCCTTCACCTTGCAGGGGGTTTTAGCGGGGGCATCGGATGGCTGCGCACTTTCCTACCTTTTTCCTCCTTGAATAAGAGAAGCTGTTAGTCCTGACCTCGCTTTTCTTCTCCTTGCTCCAGTTCCTCTCACTCTGCATCGTCTCTCGCTAGCCTGCCGTCACCTGTCAACAGCGCTCAGGGAGGCTGTGCCTCAGCCTTGTCCCAGTGTCAATCCTCATTACCCTAGGATCTTGGACCTTGCCCCCCACCCGCCCTTTCCTTTCTAGCTGCCTTGATGCTCTTCTGCTCCGCACTACCACGCTCCAATTTGCTCTCCGTGCTTCCCATGCGCAGGGCGGGAAGGAGATGAGGGGCAATACAGGGAAGGGAGGGCTGAAGAGGATGGATACAGATCCTTCCTCTAATTTGCTCTGAAAAGTGTCCTGCGCAAAGGACCCTCACCCCCATTAACCCAGCGACAGGCTGCTACCGCTGCTCTGGGAGGCATCAGCAACGTGTGTATGTATGTGTGTGTATATGTGAGAGGGGCCCGGGGGTGCGGCGGACGAAGGCATCTCGGCGCTCAGTGCCTGGCTCCGGCACCGGTTCAATCTATCGGCTCATTATCCCCCCCGCCCAGGCTGGGGTGCAGACAAGTGCACTTTAGGGCCACAGGCCAAATTGATTCATCTGCCTTCATTTTCTTCAGGCTCAGAAGT